ATATATATATACATATAATTACTAGCTGTATGTCATTACTTCGCTATGATGTAAAATAAATTGAAAGTAGCACTCTGAAGAAATAAGAAAAAACACACAATGTAGGCCGACAAAATAAAAATTGTATCAATCTAAACAAAAAAAAATATACACACACTACAATCAAAAACAATGAACGAAACACGATCTGTTTTGTAATTCTTGTAAAAAAAATTCTTACATAATAATTCCTGGGAAATTATTTAAGATAAGTGAAATAGGGGAAATAATCACTCTCTTAATATAAATATGTATATATCTACACATTTAATTATAAATGTCAAAACAAATACATAATTACTTTAGAATATAATAAAATTGTTTAACACTATTCGTGTTTACAACATGTTTTTGTCTATAATCAGAATTTAATATATTGTCATCACAAATGCTTTAGTATTATAGCATAATGAAAGTTTTTAAAATCAGAGTTGATATAAAACCACGCTTTTCAGTATAATAGAAAAACATTCAGATTAATAGTCTTCATTTAACGAAATATCGTTCTTTTAGTTCAGATCATATATTTTAATTAACTATTGCTTCTTTGTGCTCTTAAAAGGTCATTTTTAACATAGTGATAGGTATGGGTTAGATTACTGTATTGATCACACACCTTTTTACTGGTAATTGCAAAAACAATATTCACAGAGTTTTACGTTTAAAAAGCTAATTTTCTGGCGGCATGGTACTTTGGTACATCATTACGCGTTTTTCTACATGTACTTAACAGCTCAGTTCGGGGTGGGTTGGGGGGGGGGGGGGGGGGTTCAACTTCATTTACCACTGTCCGGTCACTTTAGGTCAATTATCCAACCCAGTGTATACCTAGGTGTGACATTAATATATATAATTCTCTTCTTGGAGACGCTAGAAAACAAGCTGTAAGCGCGCTCCCTACCACCCCACCCCTACATGGTCTGGTGAGCTGTGGTTCACGCTAAATGTTTACAATCGTAGAGCCGGGTTTAGTGACGGCTATTAGGGGCAGATAATTTAGTTTGAAACTATTTTAAACTTAGGGGAGGTAACTAAGGGGAGGCTGCTTTCACGGGGGGGGGGGGGGTGTAGGTTAGGGGTTGGGGGAAAGGAGGGTGCGGGTAGTATTGTTCTTAACGACCTACTGATAGTGTTTTTAAAAAAATATTTTCAGTGGCAGCATTGGTACTGTCGAATTCACAAATTATGAATTACTGAAAAGTAGAAAATAAAACAACTAAATAGCGGCGTATGATATGCCGCGGGTCGGCTCGTACATATATATTCCACAAATATATATTCCACAAATACATATTACAGAAATAGATTTAAATAAGTAGCAATGGTATTATGACAATATTTGTTTTTACAGAAGGGTCGATGGAGGAGGGGGGTTGTAACTGTTTCATATAATTTGTAATCGTAATCACTATCGCCCAAACTGTAAGAATACTACTACTTCATCGTGATGACGTTGTTGGCCTTGTCAAAATGTCCCCACCACTACGCAGTTTGCTCATAAGTAAATTTAAATAGAGGTGCCACATCAGTTATATTTGTTTCTACATTGTAATCACACGATTCAAACTGTATATATTATTTGTTTCTACATTGTAATCACACGATTCAAACTGTATATATAAAGTAATTATATGTGAAGTTTTATGTATAACATTTTCTAATTCAATTATTCGTAAGCAAATACATTATACAGTTGCCTTAAACTTAACACCCCTCTTGCCAAGTGGTACTACCCGTAGAGGTTTTTTAAACATTGCAATGCATCGTAATGGTTATTTTTAGAATGGCAAACTGATGCAGCTGTTAATACGTGTTGTAAACGTAGACACTACTTTACTAGACTAGTACAATAATGCTTAAGTTAATTGCTGCATGAAAAGAAATCTTGTGATTTACATAGATGTGCCGACCAAAATATTTTTTAACAAATATCGTTGTTTAAAACTTTGAGTTTAAAAAGTTTCCAAAAAGGCGCCACTTTGCTGAAAATGGCCACAGGGGGAGCGGCCGCTGTTAACTACCAGGAATCCAACACTAACACATTTTTAAAGAAGATTTCATTATTCTGGCATTTTTGGACATTTCCGCTTTCTTTTTAGCGGCGCTGTAGAACAATTGCCTTGCCTTCTAAATAGACTAATGGATAGCAATAGCTAGAGGAAAGCCTATTAATGTAAATGACAGACCCTGACACCCCTCCTATCCAGGTGGAATCGTCTGTGAACATATCTGTACTGTGGCATATTCTAGCATATTTTGGCAAACATTACTCAACCATGTCCGGCGTCAACCTAATTGCTCAATTAAGCATAGAGTAGGCGTGCATTGAATGTGTTCAATTGGGCATGCATTTATAGTTTCTGTTGATCTGAGGTTAGGGGCATCTCTGCGTGGCCGCAGGTAGACCTGTGCTCTAGGGAGGGGCAGACATGGTTTAGATGTAATATTGGACAGTGTTGGTTAGATTGTACACAAACTTAAACACATTTAACACATTGTCGGAGATTGTGAACTTTAGACGGCCAAAATGTTGGTTCATATATGAATTCTGGACGGCCACGGCCACGATGTCCGTTGTGATGTAACGTTAGACAGTCAAAATGTAGGTGACAGTTACGACAAATGTAGAAGGTGACGGTGAACTTGGGATGGCCAAAATGTAGGTGACATAAACCCACATTTTGATGGCCTGATACAGTACGTTTGGAAGGCCAAGCCTAAACTTTGGACTAGATAATGATCAGCTCTTGTCAAATTGTGGAAAAAATTGTCGAGACGTTGATGGTTGAATGATCCACTGACGGATGCAATATTTCCTTTCCGCCACCGTCATGTGTTACAATGATCCACTGACGGATGCAATATTTCCTTTCCGCCACCGTCATGTGTTACATACATCACGCAGTAGTGTGTCTCTGTGTGTGCGTGTCCGTGTTTTTTTTGTTGTCTTTTTACGAGTAAAATTTCGTAAAGTTATGTACTGTTGGGGTAGACTCTAACCCTGTGTGGTGTTTAAGTGTGTGTGTGTGTGTTATGACTTTGTCTTTATAAAGTCACATTCTAAATGCCATACATTTGTATAAAATGTCTAACCTCCCTCCCTCCCCCGAATTGTAACCAGTACCATACACAGAACTACTATTGCCTTTATTAAACTATCGCGGTAGATTGATCAGGATAGTAAACCCGGCTTCCTCTTACATAACAGCACGCTGTGTCTCTTTAGAAGGTGTAGCTATTAATATACACGTCTGTGTAAGGTTATTTTACGCTCAAAAGTCGAGGGCTGATCATATCATTGTTCTGGTCGGACCTCATCCAACAAATTAGGTCAGAGCCGAGTTGTGGAATCCCGCACAGATGTGTTAATTAGGTTTAATTCAATCAATAACAGGTTGTTTACAATAAATAATTGGTGAGAAGTAAAAATGCTAGTTATTTTTTAAAACTTTTGACCTATTTATAAAAAAATTACATTTAATAATCTTGGGGCACGCCTAGAGCTTTTTGCATCTAGTTTTTCTATTTGAAATAACCCAGCTGTCTGTCTAGGATTGCTGCCGTTACTTATAATACTACCCCGCTTATACACATGGCGGCCAAACCCTCGTATTGAGAACCGCTCTGCTAAAACAATGACAAGGGACTAATTGATCACATGTGTGTGAAGTTAAATCTTGGGTCCCACAACCTGTGTATTGGGAACCGCTCTACTAAAACAATGAGACGAGGCTAATCGTTGACATCTGTTAACTCCTCTTATAAAACGTTTTCAAGACATCACTTCAGTAGCCACAGGCGAGGCTAGAAAATGTAACTTGGCTGATTCTATGACTCATAAAACTAACGAGATCTATGTACTTTAGGCCTGATAGCAGGATTAAAAAGAAATTTCTTTCTTTCACACAATGTGGGCACCTCTCTCAATACATTTTTTTTGGTTAAAGCCAACAATAAATGTCCAGTTCTAGGCTCATATTGATTAGGTCTGGGTCAAATTTGTATCCTCGGTTATTCACATAAACTGCGTCAGTTTTAAAAAAGTAAATATAGCAGATTAAAAGACATAAAATATGTAAGATATTATATATATTACATATATTATATATGTATTATATATAGATAATATGTAAGCGATCTCATTAGCAACCAAAGCGTTTATTAAAGAAAGCAAGTTTTATTTTACTATAAAATCAAATTATAATTTTACTGTCTCCTTTTTAAAACTTCGTTCTTAACAAAATTGACACCACGCCTGACTAAAACTATTTGCTTTAAAAACCCGATCAATAGCTCGCGATCTCTAAAAGACAGTCGTCTGCCACTTCTTAACGCCCATGGAAACCAGCCGTCCGTGACCAACAGTTCACCCTTTGTAAACAGATTCACCCAGTAATCGCTGAAGATTAATTCTGTTACCTTCCTTTTAGTTACTGCTTTTAATGAGCTATAATCTAATTAGTTTAATAATTAGGTATCCTTACAATGTTATAGAAGAGGAACATATATGGAAAGTTAGAACAAAACCACTGCATTAGAAGAGGGCTAAAATTGAATTTCGAAAAGAAAAAAAGCTAAAAAGACAAACACGTAGAAACTGTAAACTGAATAAAAGATTACAAAAGACGACTTACACGTAGACCCTATTGAACATTTCTTAGGAAGACAAAAAAAAGATTAATTAGAAGTGAAATAAAAACATTTTTTTTTTTTTACCACACAGTTTTCTGTTTAGATTTGTTTTTTATCTATACTTTGTGAATCCGTTTTTTTAAATACCTTAAATTCTACGATACAGTATTTATGTAAAGCTGCCCATATTCATCAAATTGTATGGACCAGGAGCTTGTGGTATTTAGACTATCATAAAAGAACGACAACAGCCCTTACAAGCATGGAAAAACATGAATTATTTCCCTTGGTTCGATTGATGAGTAATTTTTTTTTCTGTTTACCCCCAGAACTATTCCAGACCCAAGTAATCAGAAACTGTGTTGGACCAAGCCCCCACTGTCTGTGTTGATCATTCGCAAACATTTTGATGAGTCTGTGATGATACCCTTCAAACAGCTGGTCACATGGCTAGTCAAGGTACCCTGAGTCTTAGACATTGGGGGGGGGGGGGGGGGCTTTTTTGTGGGAATCATTTTTGTGGGTTGGGTTTATTAGTCAGTAGTTTTGTATTTAATTTCTTACAGTAAATAATGGTAGTATGATCTTAGGAGATTTATTATAAAAACTGATGTCAGCTAAATAATTTTTTTTCTCTTATTTGACATTCTTTGATTTAAGTGTTATATTATATTGATTTAAAATCACAATACACACAGAGTACTTTTTCAGCAAATAAAATCTTCATTTAACTGTGATTATTGTAAAGGTCTATTGTTCCATATTTAAATAAACATATTTTTTTGCTATTGTCTCCAGACAAAAAATGATTGTTGGTTGTTATTTTGGTCAAACACTTAAAAGGTTACAATAAATATACATTTTATTTTGCAGGAGAAGAACATGGTTGTATTTGTTGAACAGTCAGTTATGGAGGACAGTATATTAAAAGACCAGTATGACTTTCAGATACTCAGGGACAAACTAAACTTATTCAGGGAAAGTAAGTTTCAGATACCCATAGACAAACTAAACTTATTTAGGGAAAGTAAGTTTACTCAGGGACAAACTAAACTTATTCAGGGAAAGTAAGTTTCTGTCTTATGCCTTTCTGAATAGTTTATGTTTAATAACAGATGAATGTGTAAACTGGGTAGATGAAGGGGGGGGGGGCTGTAGTCTGGCAACTAAAGTTGGGGGACATTGTGGGCAAAGGAGGGGAGGAAGGGTAGATGAGGAAGGTTAAGATTGGGGGGAGGGTGCACTGTAGTGGGGGTACAATCACTAGTGAAATTTTTTTGGGGGGGGGACACTAGTAAAAGTGTATGTTTACTATATAAAATCATCTCGTTCGGGGGGGGGGGGGGGGCAGTAGACTTTTTTCGGGGAAGAAACTCTGGGTACAATGTATAGCTAAAACTGGTAAAATATTTTTTTAACTTCCCATCTGTTCTCCTGTTTCAGGTGATGATTTGACAGATAAAGTAGATTTCATTATATGTCTAGGAGGGGACGGAACTCTACTATATGTATCGTCATTATTTCAAGTGAGTTATTCCATCCAACAAAATTAAAAAAGGTGTTCACAAAGATATTTTATAAATATACAAAAAAAATATGTATGCATCACTGGAGGTAATGTTTGATGTAAACAAATTACAATATGTTCACAATGGAAACTGAAATATAATACAACACTTTTAACTTCAGGGTTGTCTAGATACAAAAACGTATCTAAAGACACCCTTTAACACTTGAAGAGTAGACTCTTCCAATGTTGATTTGAAGTGTTAAATTTTAAAAACATACATATGTAATTTAGCTGTAATAATTAGGGCGGCATGGCCTTAGACTGCTAAACTGAAAGTTTTGATGTCAAATCCAGTTTCATGGTAGTAGAATGTCCCTGAGTCCACTCAGCTCTGATGGGTATCCTAACTCATGTTATTGAAAGTAAAGGTGGCTGGGCATAGTTCTGACCACACTATCCCATTCATTTGCCAAGTTCATAGAAATACCGTCAGGCTCAAAAAATGAACTTCACATTTCTAACTGTAATAAAACATTTATGTGAGTTAACTGTCTTCAAACTTTGCCGCTGTGTTGTCGGATAGTATTTGATAAGTGGGGATTTTTTATATTTTAATTTAAGTCTTTAAAAGTTTCAATTTGTAAGTTTCCCACCTGAATAATGTCACTTTTTCTCCACAGGGCAGTGTACCCCCTGTGATGGCATTTAATATGGGTTCTCTTGGTTTCCTGACCCCCTTTCACTTCTCTGAGGATTTCAAGGGTGAAGTCTCCAGAGTTATGGAAGGCAAGTAGCCACCTGTTACAGAAGTACTAGTTGTTTTTTAAAGAATTAAAGTAGCAGTTTCCTTACAACTTAAAAATACCACTTACCTTACAGAATTAGCATATCAGTTTTGCAGAACTAGATTTTATTAAGTATATCTTGTTCAAGGAATTTAAATCAGATTGTTTAAAAAATCAATATCCTGCCGCAGTATCAAATTTGGAAAAAATCAATTAGTGTAATAGTGGATTTGATGGGAAAAAAACTCAAATTTTAAAATGTATTTTAAATACAAAACTATCTTCATTAGTATATTTGAATGAAATAACATAATTCCCACTGGCACTTTCACAGGTACGGCCTCTCTGCTGCTAAGATACCGTCTAAAGTGTGTGGTTGTCAGCCATGACACAGACCATATACCACATGTGAAAAACATAAACAAAGAAGATTCGTGGACCAAAACTCACAAACTAGTTAGTATATTTTTTTACTTGGGTTCTCTTTACTCATTGGTCAGTATCATAATATATGCTTGTTTTCCATTCATTATCCTTTTAACACAGGGATCCATAATACCGCGTTTACACTTACGACAATGTATACTATACATTTCTGGAACACAAAGCCCGCCAAAATAAAATTTGTCTTGAAACAATTTGTTCACAGAACATGTATACTTTAGCGTTCACACTAGAACATTGTTATAGAACATTTTATAAAACGATCATGACCTTTGACCCGGAGCGTCTGCTATATAGGCCCGGATAATTAAATAAAGAGAAATCAAAGTAAAAAAAAAAGATAGTGGGCACACAGTTGTTTTTTTTTTAAAGGAAAATGGTGTAGCCACTGTGCTTGCGATTCAACAATGAATTCTCTAAAAATTAGAGAACATGCAAGATTTTATAAATTTTATGCCAGCTACTGGAGCTAGACAGTTTTTATAAATATAATGCTGTGTATAATACCACGGGTCGTAGACATTACCCACCTGTTATTACCCCTCCCTCCCATCCCGCAGTACAATCACCCTTTTCCACCCCAACCCCATGGTAGCCATTTCCCCAGCTTCTTTAATTTCTAATCTATATCCTTCAGAAACAGCTTCCAATAAACAGGGCTAAATATTTGTTTGCTGAAAGTAAAGGTCCGATTTTCTCCGAAAACTTGCATCTGCCAAGTTCATAATAAACGTATCGTGATCGTGTTATCACTATACTGAGTCTATTATTAAGAATAAAAGTAGATGTAGTTTTTAGAGTAGGGCCTATGACATCCCCCCCACCCCAATTCGTTTCTTTATGTTAATTATGTCCCATTTTTAAACCTAAATAATTAGCATATGATTTTTTATCTGCCTGTTTTTATAGTAAGTTGATTATGTGTGATCCCACGAGCACATTCTGGTGGGCATAAAGATTTATTCATGTCAGACGGAAACTGAAAATATGTTGGTCAAGAAAAAAATTGGAGATAAATTTGGTTCAATTATATTTTTTAATTAATTAATATTTTCGTAATTAATACCTAAACTGGTTTTAAGGCAAAATTATAATGCCTTAGATATTATTTCATTAAAACGTGTTTGGAATTTAATTAAAGAAATAAAAAGAAATGATAAAAATGTAAATTTTAGCAGGGCCTAGAGAAATTATAAATTATGAAATCGTGTGTTCAAAAACTCAAAATCATTATAGAATCTATATTTAATTTTGCAATCAGCTGAGACCTATGATGCGCTTACTACTTTTGACGCATGCGCACTCATCTGAAAATTCAGAACATGTCCAATGTTTTCGCTCAGCGAGCGATGACAAAAACTTGACCCAGAACACAAAAAGGGGCTAGGTTTTGTGCCCTGCGACTCAGAAGATGTTCCATATACTCGTAACATGTTTAGTATACACTTTAGTAGGTCAAGTCTAGTAACATTGTCGTAAGTGTAAACGCGGTATAAGAATCACTACACACAGTATAGGATATTTATATTATTATCTTATATTCTTTTAGAACAGGGATCTTTTCTATAACTAAAAATTAATAATTCATATTGCAACAGAAGACAGCTTTTCTTTTAATAATTATATTGAGCATGTTTTGTATTCCAATGTATTAGTTCAATGTGGATACCATAGCTCCATCTGTGTTTTTTTTGCAAGGTCCTTAATGAAGTCGTCATTGACCGAGGCCCTTCATCTTATCTATGTAATCTAGAGCTTTATATTGAAGGCAAGAGGGTTACATCAGTACAAGGAGATGGTAAGATTATCTCAAGGACTTTCCTTAAACTCTGATCTTCTCTTTTCATGTGTATTATTCTTTTTGTTAAAAATTAATCCTTTTGTTGTAAATGCTTTTTAAAAGCGATTGTTATTATTATGTAAGATAGTTCTTTCGGCTCCTTTAAAATTGTTGCCATTTACACTTTCAATATTTAATGTATGTATAAACTTAACATCAAACTTAAAATAAATATAAAAATTGTATTTCAAGATATAGAATATATTGTATACATTTAACATCAAAATTTTAAACAAAATTTTAAAAATTGTATTCAAGTTTAAGTGGATTATCAACTAAGTAATAAATGAATAGCCACTATTTTCTTATAGTACTTCCAAAGAGCCACATGCATTACTGCTATATTTGACTGTAGAAAAATACTGAATGACTTGCCACTGATTGTCTGCGACTCTTTGATTCCAGGTCTGATCATCTCCACCCCCACCGGCAGCACAGCCTACGCAGTGGGCCGCTGGTGCATCCATGATCCACCCCAGTGTTCCCTGCATCATGCTGTACCCCCATCTGTCCACACTCCCTGTCCTTCAGAACCCATTGTTGTACCAGCAGGGGGTGGAGATTAAGGTACTCTACCTGTTGTCTTCAATTTATAATTTCATTATAGTTCTTAACCAAAAATATGTATCACTCCATCAATACAAAGTAAAATCAGTTTAATTCAGCTGTTTCAAAATTGGGAGGCACAGGCTAGTTTTAGGAGAGGTGCAGTAACTTATAATTCTATACACACCCCCAGCTATAAACATGTATTTTACTTCCTGATTGTAAAATTGTTGGAACACAAGTATTTAGCTCCTTAAATGTTTAGACCAATTAGGGTTATGGTTATTCTAATAACTATTAACATTTGGGTGAAAAAGTATATATTATATAATGATTATTAGATTATTAATGATGACGAGAAAAATGGCCCGTTGAGGAAGGATACACCGGGCGCTAGCTTGATAGTGCTGTCTCTTTTCTCTAAACTAAAACCAACCCACCCCCCCCCCAC